CACAGCCCCTGGAGTCTGGCACTCTGAACTTGGACTTAAAGCCTCCAAACTGTGAGAGAACTCCTGTTTGTTAAGGCCATCCTATTTGTCAGAGCGGCACTAGCTAACCAGAACAGTGATTACAGATTTTTAAAGACTGTGGCCATTATGAATAGTTAAAGATCATATAATTAAAGCTTCATCAAATGAAAATATTTGCTAAGTGTAGTTCCTAGCAAAAAGGAGCAAATTATGAAATTTAGTTACTGGAGAAATTCAAGCATATTTTCCTGCCTTCATGACTTCCAATGCCTTTGACTAGGCCAAGACATAAAATTTACAACAAATATTTTGTTAGGTACAACAGTAAAGCTGTGCGCAACATTAATTAGCAGTACATGTATAAAAACCAAACCCGTTGCCGTCGAGTCGATCCTGACTCCTAGCAACTCTGTGGTGTAGAGTAGAACCGCCTCATAGGGTTTCTAAAGCTATAAATCTCTGTGGAAGCAGACGGCCTCATCTTTCTCCCAGAGAGAAGGTGGTGGGTTCAAACCACTGACCTTTTGGTTAGCAGCCAAATGCTTTAATCACTGTGCCACCAGAGCTCCAGGTATATGTATCGTTATTATACACCGTCGAGTCAGACCCAACTCATAGTGACCACTCCTTAGGTTTCCGAGGTGGTATCACTACAGAAGTAGATTGCCCAACCTTCCTTCTGAGGAGTGACTGGTAGGTTTGAACCTCCAGCCTCTGGTTAGCAGTCTAGTGTCTTAGGCACTATGCTACCAGAGCTCTAGGTATGTGTATGTTGTTGTTGTTGTTATGTGCCGTCGAGTTGGCCCCGACTCATAGCGACTCCTCCTTGGGTTTCCGAGGCAGTATCACTACGGAAGTAGGATTGCCCAACCTTCCTTCCGAGGAGTGGCTGGTGGGTTTGAACCGCCAGCCTTCTGGTTAGCAGTCAAGTGCTTTAGCCACTATGCTACCAGAGCTCCCATAGTACTCCTATATTTGTAAACATTTATTGAGTTTATAAGAAGGGAGAATGTTAAACTTCCATACATTATCTATTAGATTAAAACCACAATTGAGTCATGTATGCTTCCTTTCTGGTCCTTTAGCATCCTGTATACATGTGGTGTAGCAGACACAATAAATGATGGTTCCCAGCGACAATTGAGAACAAAGTGCTAATCTAAGAATGTTACTTTAACTATAGTCAAAGAGAAGTGATACTTTTTTTTTTTTTTTTTAAGAATTTTTATTCTTTAATTCTGTCTTCTCTGGGTCAAAATTGCTACTATGCAATTCTGTGTCATTCTCTCTTGTATAAATGTTTCCATTCACACGGCATGTTAGCTGTACCTTTCACTTGTGCAAATATAAATATTCAGGAAAAAAATACACCTTTGGTTTATTTTCAGGGTTTTTTTCCTTTCTGTGCAAGATTTTCAGTAAGTGTTTGAAGTCCTAATCAGCATTTAATTTAGGCCTGTTTTAATCCCTCTGCCTAGAGTGTCAGGCTGTAGAACACTAATTGAGTTGATGAAAGACTGAAAAACAAACTTAAAGGGACCTTTAACAGGCATGGGGTGGGGGAGGGAATAAATCCTACCATGAACTTCTTTGTAAATAGTAGAATTTTGGAAGTGACCTTGTCCTGTCAGCTCACAAGCACACTGAGCCTAGAAAGATTAAATGCCTTAATCCTATGGTCCCTCGGCTGGCTAGTGGCTTAATACTGTACACTTAGAAGCTAGTAGCATTTTGATGTTTTCAAATATTTGTGTTGAATTAACAATCTGATTTTATATGTAGCTTGTGAGTTAAGTGTCACTGTTACTCTACACACACACACACACACACACACAGAGTGAGTGTCTTGCAGTCAGCTTTATGTGGTAAATGATTTCCAGAGGTGAGAGATCATCCTGATGCACCATTCAGGGCAATTTGACTAAATCACTTTCTTTTTATTTTCTAACTTTAACTCATAGAAATCCCATGAGATGTGGAACCCATTTTGAGAAATGTGTCAAAGCAACTTTTGAAATGTAAAAAGCTAAGTAATTAGTATCAGCATTTCCCTTGGAGAGAAAAGATAAGAAAAGTTACTTAATATATTCTATATGGGTAAGTTAAGGAGATTCTGTAGTAGTGTCACATCACATAAATGACTTTTTTTTTTTTTTTTTTTTTGGAAAAACAACATGCAAACCAAACCAAACTCACTGCCATCAAGTTGGTTCCTTGGGTTTCCAAGGTAGTAAATTTTTACAGAAGTAGATTGCCCAGTCTTCCTTCTGCAGAGTGGCTGGTGGGTTTGAGCCACCAGCCTTCTGGTTAGCAGTGAAATGCCTTAAGAGAGCTTTATGCCATCTTTGAGATGTTAGTGGGCAAGGGCACTGACTTTTACTTTGATTTGGAGCTGAAATAAATCATCATAACATTATTTTTTCTCTGTTCTATTAGGTATATTCCAAAAGCTTTTGAATTTATAAACCATCTTTGGAAATTTATGGGAATGAAGAATATTCCAAATTTAGTAAGAAAACCAAATGAAGCTCAGATATACTCTCAAGATGTTTTTGTGGATTTCATATACCTGGTCTTTTAGAGGCTCATTTATTTCTATTTTTTTTTGTGATGTGAATTCATTGGTTTCAATATAGGTTTTAAATTCACTAGACATGTGAGTACCTGCCATGTGCCAAGCAATGTGCTGGGTGAAGTCACGTGGACATAGTTATATATATACCCTGTAAGGAATTATTATCCCAGTTTTTCAGATAAGGAAAGGGAGTCTCAAAAAAAAGAAAAAACAAACCAAAAACTGACTCATCTATGATTGTGTGATTAATCCTCAGCAGAGTAACGATTATAGATCAGGTCATCTGACCCTTAAATCTCTTATGTTTTTCAGTAAAATTCATTTGTAAGGAGAAAATCTTGAAAATACTACCTTAGAGGCATTGTGTTGATCGTTGGAAGATCAACACTCTAATTCATTAAAGGAAGATTCTGTTGCTGACTCATTAAAGGAAGATGATGAAATGTGTTGGTTAATACCATGGGCTTTGGAGTAAGTCCAGTATGGAAAAAAACCTGATTCCTCTGTCATAGAGAAATTTCATGACTTTGAGTCAGGTTGGTTGGTTGGTTGGTTTTAACTTTTAAGCTTCAGTCTCTTCATCTACAAAAGATGATAATAAAACGTATTTTTGTAGGGTATCCTTGGAAGGAAGGTTGGGTAATCTACTTCCATATTGATACCACCTCGGAAACTCAAGGAGGGGTTGCTATGAGTCAGATTTGACTCAACTCAATGGCAGTGAGTTTGGTTTTTTTTTTTTTTTTTTTAAATAGTGAGATTTATATAGCAACTCACTGCCATCGAGTCGCTTCCAACTCATAGCGACCCCCTGTGGGTTTCCAAGGCAGTAAATCTTTATGGAAGTAGATTGCCCAGTCTTCCTTCTGTGGAGTGGCTGTTGGGTTTGAACCACCATCCTTCTGGTTAGTAGTCAGTTGCCTTAGGCACTACCCTACCAGAGTTCAAATAGCGAGATTTGAAGATGGGGCAATCTACTTCTGTAGTGATACTGCCTCGGAAACCCAAGGAGGGGTCGCTATGAGTCAGTCTGACTCAACAGCACATAACAACAACAAGAAGAAGTTGTGAATTGGGTAAGGCATATAGTCAGCGGTTCAAACCCATGAGTTGCTCCAGGGGAGAAAGATGAGGCAGTCTACTTCTGTAAAGCTTTACTGCTTTGGAAACCCAATGGAGGTTGCTATATATCAGAATCAATTCTATGGCAGTGGGTTTTATAGTGAGGATTTAGAACAATACCAAATGGAGTGTGTTTAGTAGAGTACCCAGCAGATCGTAAAGCTTCTTGGTGGCTGTCATTAGTAGTACATGGTGGTAGAGAAAGGTAATATATGAATTGGTCAAAGATAGATCTTCATTATTGTATTCAGAGACATGAAGACTTTTGTATTAATAAGATGGAAGTATATTAATCTCATTGAAGATTTTAGTGATATTCAGCCCTTGTATAGTATTCATAACTGAATGTGATGATTTTTAAAATATTTTGGAGGCAAATTAGAACATTTGCAGCTCATGTCCACATTCTGATTAGAGTTGCTAATAGAGTGGACACAGTGGCATGAATTAGTTCTGGAGAGTTGAAGAGTCCTCCATTTCAATTCAGTTCAATTTCAACCCTTTTGAAAATGTAAATGCATTTAGTTTTGTGTATTTCACTGTACATAAATTATGTTTCAGTAAAATGTGTTTTTTTAAATGTAAATGCAAATAATACAGTTTTTGAGTCCCTGAATAACATTTATTTAACTGATTTATGACACAGAAATCTGGCCTTTAACACATGCTGACATGAGGACTCTGGAATGGGAATATAAATGATCAGTTTCCACACACACACACACATGCTCATAAATGTATAGTTGAAGACTGATTATATTAAACTGAAGTTTTTCAAAATCTAGACATAACCCTAATTTTGTTTTTATTTCTTGTGGACATTTCAAAATACTTCTCCACATGCATTTAACAGTATACTTCCCAGTGTTTAAAGTGGTAACCTTGAATAGTCTATATGCTATGGAAGCAACAAAGTATGAAGAACCTTATGAAAAGTACAAATTTTAAATAGAGTTTTTGCAGGTTTCATATTATAAGAATGAAATAATAAATATAATTTTGTTATTGACAACTGATTTTGGAAATATTTATATTAAATAGAGTTAATTGGATTCAAAAAAGAAAAATCTCACATTTGTAAACATAAAAGAATGATTTATGCTTGTATGTGTTTGTTCTAATTTATGGATATATCATCATCATCCTTTAATTGATCATCATCCTTGTAACTAAGTAATGAATTTTAATATGTTTTAACTTTCAGGTCTTCATCATATAATCTGTGTTACAGCAAAAACATCTCAAATTGAATTTACAATCCTGCTTTCATTTCTTTTCTCAGATGATGAAACATGCTTGGTATAATTATAAACGTTACGCTTGGGGATTAAATGAACTGAAACCTATATCAAAAGAAGGCCATTCGAGCAGTTTGTTTGGTGAGTACAATGGGCTTTTGTTTCTTGGTGACGATAACTTTCTCCAGCGGACACTGAACTTTGGGTGGAGACGTTTGTTTAATTCGGTGATCCTCCAGACTGTGTTGCTAGGAAACTTGGACACTTGATAGTGTTGTCTGTAGGCTGTGTCCTTCAGATAGAACAGTGGCTGAATATAGCATCACCTGCATAACTTTATGCTGGAGATCAGGCTTGGAAAGCACAGGATTAGTAAAAAAGGGGAAGACCCTCAATAAGATGGTTTTGACACAGTGGTTGCAACAATAGGTTCAAGCAAAATAAAGATTGTGAGGATAGTGCAGGGTGGGGCAGTGTTTTGTTATGTTGTACGTGGTGTCACCATGAGTCAGAATAGACAATTGCACGTAACAACAGCAGCCAGCAGCAGCAGCATGACTTTACAAATACTAATGCCTGGGCTGTATCTCCAGAGATACTCATTTAATGGATATGGGGTTTAACATCACAATTTTTGGCTTCCAAGGTGGCTCACAACATAGCAGCATTTGGTTGGCTATATTAACTACTTCTTTAATGTAAAAGCTGTGTCTTTATTGATAAGCTGGCCAAAGCAACTTACGTGGTGATCATCACTGTATCTCAGTGACTCTCAACTTTGGCTCTAGATTTCTCCTTTTTGTGCCATGGGAGAGGAAGTGAGGATGGATTAGGTCAGTTCTCAGTTATTTGAACTGCCATTTATCCATTCTTGCATATTGCATTTGGTCCCCACAGTAATCCTCTGCAGTTGGTAGTGTGGGTATTAATAACTGTTCCCCTTGTGGAGGTGAGGAAGCTAAGAAACAGAAAAATTAGATGGACCCTTTGGGTCACAGAGACACCTAGTCCTTTCTCATTGTACTTGATTTCTTACTCCTCGAAATCTTATTTATAAGTAACATGATGAAGGGGATGGAGTATTATTCTGTGACTTCTGAATTCACCATAGAAAACATCACTTTCCATACTTTAATTGAAGGTGTTAAATTCTATCTGTTCATAAAATAAATGATGCTATTAGCTGACATTTATTGAGTACTTACTGTGTGCCAACTGCCATTTGTGCATAATATCACTTAACCTCATTATTATACACATTTTATAGATGAGAAAACTGAAGCTCAGAAAATAGCTTGCCCACAATCACCCACCTACTTGCTTGCTGAGCTGGGACTTGAACCTCAGGGTATCTGACACCAGAATCTGTGTTCCTAATCACTGCCTTTGTTAATTACTATCGGGTACACTGGACTTGTGGCAATCCGATTATAACAGAACATTGCCCAGTCTGCACCATCTCCATGATCTTTGTTAAGGTGAGCCCTTTGTTTAGGCTATTATTGTGTCAGTCCCTTTCACTGAGGGTTTTCCTTACTGTTTTTCCCTTTATTTAGCACCTTTCATGTGTTCAGCTGTACTATCAGCAAAGGGGTTATTAAAAACAGTTCCAGCGTTTGAAAGCTCATGCCCTTCTATAAAAGGTGTATGTGTAAATGGTGAGTTGTCAGAGTACAGGTGGTTTAATAGATATTCATATGAAGGAATCAGCAAGATCTCAGGTAGAAAGAAAGGCATTGCAGGAGGTGCAAGGACAGGTAGGCAGAGCTGGAAAGAGTGAAGTAAGGAGGCCAGGTGGTTGATCACAGTGATACAGTTTGGAGATGAAGAAGAATGCCTAAACCTGGAGCAGTGGCAGTAGAAATGATTTCAGACATTTCTGAAGTAGTGTTTTAGGACATGGTGATGAGTTAACATGGGTAATGGGGGAAGCACTCAAAGAGAGAAACTGAAACTTAGTGTCAAATCAGAGTCCTTGGAAACTGTGGCCAGTAAACTGCAGAAGTGCAACAATAACTCCCAGGGTCCCAAATGCACAAATTTGTTACTTCCATCTCAGTTCCTTACATCATGGGATCAAGCTTGTCCAAGACAAAAAGAAGTGTTTAAATTTAGAAGGTTGTGGGAGTATGTATGTGTGTGTGTGTGTGGTATTTTGTGTATTTTTTTGTTTTCCTGTTTATATTTCCCACAACCTGTGTTTTTTCTTTACTTTGCCTTTGCCTCTCATCCTTCACTTGTGTTCTTTCCTCATTCGGTCTCTTCCTTTCTTTTTTCTTCCCCCTTTCCCTCCCTACTTCTTTTTTTTTTCTTTCTTCCCCTCCTTTAGGCCGCAGCAGCCCTGATACTGATAAACTTCTGAACGGCCATCAAGCTCCCCTTTGATACAGATCTCCCATATACCAAAAGTTGCTTAGGAAAAGTTCAGCCAGTATTGAATCTGATTTTCTACTGAAGTGTAAATTGCCCCTATTAATCTTTTCTTTTTAACAGGTTAAATTTCAATTTCATAGAAACCACAAGTCTTCGGCTGTAGACCAAAATATCACCTACTTTCTTAATTTCTTAGTCACTTTGGTGAGTGGCATGAGAGAGAGTAATGGATTTATTTTAGGCGAACCATGAATATTTCAGAATGCAGGGACCTTGAAGTGTTGTCATTTTTATTTTCTTACTTCTTATTACAACTCTTTTTTAAAAAAATCAAATTCAAGTTTTACTTTTATCTCAATGAAATTTTCCTAGACTATTAAGAAATCAGTTATATGATTTACCATAATCTTTATAAAAAGATCATTTAGTTCTCTGTTAATATAAACATTGATAGTTCTAAAATTTATTATTGAGCATTAACAACATACTCTTTTTTTAAATCTTACTTTTTTTTAATATACTTTTCATTGGTTTCCAACTTTCCATAATCCGTGTAAGAACTTGTTCTATTAAAACAAAAAATAAAGAGCTTCAGGTATTTTTAGAAAGAAATGAAATACTAATAATGTAAATGATAATTCTCTCACTCTTTCTTCAAATTAAAATAGAATATGTAAAGATTTTCTTATTATATTAATACCAGTATATTTGAACTTGTTATAAATAAATACAGTTTTCCTTTTTACAGATGAGGAAAACTTTTAAATGTCTTATTTACCCCACTTCTTAGCCAAGTTCCTTATCTGTGAATAGCAACACCAAACCAAATTCACTGCCATCCAGTCGAATCCAGCTCATAGCGACCCCTCCCTTGGGTTTCCGAGGCAGTATCACTATGGAAGTAGATTGCCCCATCTTCCTTCCAAGGAGTGGCTGGTGGGTTTGAACCACTATCCTTCTGGGTAGCAGCCAAATGCCTTAGGCACTATGCTACCAGAGCTCCTTGTGAAGAACAATAGTCATATTTTTATTCTCTGAGCAAACCAGGTAGAAGAGAGGGAAATTTTTGTTCCTTACCACCTGGCTTCTTAGGAAATGACTCTTAGTTTGAGATATAGTACTATCTTTGACTCTTAAAAACAGCCATGTTGTTGTTAGAGGAAGTATCAGTCGATTAGAATATAAGTTTTCCTGAATATTAGCCATTAGGAATTTCTTCAGGATTGTTTCTTTCTCATCCTTTTTTCTTACTAGTTACATTGAAACTTTTATCTGTTTCCTAAGGAGAGTTTCTGTTTCCTAAGGAGGCACTTGACTGCTAACCAGAAGGCTAGCGGTTCAAACCCACCAGCTACTCCTCGGAAGGAAAGTTGGACAATCTACTTCCGTAGTGATACTGCCTCAGAAACCCAAGGAGGGGTCGCTATGAGTCAGGGCCAACTCGACAGCACATAACAACAACAACAAGGAGAGTAAGAGGGCTGTTTCTTTAACTTAAAACAATTGAAATGAACATTAGAAACTATATCAAATATTCGTCATCTCCCAGTTCTCCTTCAAAACTACAAGATTTCAGAACTAAAAAGATTTTAAGTAGAAATGCACCTCAAAAAAAAAAAAGTTTATATGTTTGACCAATTATACTCAGAGTAAATCTAGAACATAAGAAATACAAATATTTATTTAAAGCCCTAGTGGCTTAGAAATGAGAGAGCAATAAATATCTGAACTTGATATCATATTTCAGTATGCCTACTTTAAAATACTCCTTCCTGTCCCCTTGAATTCAATTATTTCTGGGGGAAAAAAACAAAACATGAAAACTCCAGTTGCTGTTGAATTGATTCCTCCTCATGGCAGACCCCTGTGCGTCAGAGTATAATGTGCTCCACGGGGTTTTCCACAGCTGCTTTTCAGAAAGAGATGGCCATGCTTTTCTTCTGGGCACCCCAGGTGGACTGGAACTGCCAACCTTTCGATGAGCAGCTGCGTTCATTAAGGATCTGCTCACCTAGGGATTCCATCCAGAAATGGATTTTAAAGATTGTACATTTTAAAGAAAATTGGATAAAGTGAAAAATGTCATGAAATGAATGTCCTGAATTTTTTCTCATTATCTTTAGATAACATTTAAACTACATTAATTTTGAGAATTAAATATTTGAATATTCTGTGATTTGGAGCTCTGGTGGCACAGTGCCTAAGGCATTTCACTGCTAACCAGAAGGTTGGCAGTTCAAAACCACCAGGCACTCTGCAGACGGAAGACCAGGCAATCTACTTCTGTAAAAATTTACTGCCTCAGAAACCCAATGGGGGTTGCTGTGAGTCAAAATCAACTCGATGGCAGTGGGTTTGGCTTTTGGGTTTATGATTTGGTAGTTTTCTAATGACAATTTCTCAATTTGATATTTGAAAGGAGTGTGCTTATAATTTCCTTTTATGTTTAAAAACTTGGTCCTGGCTTATCTAGAATGCCAGTTGTTATCTGTAGAAAGTTTAGTATCTAGTCTTTCAGCAGACATTCACTGGACATCACCAGTACAGTTTTCAGGAAACCGTGAGGGACAGAGAGATGAACTATACATGACCTCTTTAATCTAAGGGAGTTTCAGACTAACAGACATGTTGTTGTTGTTGTTGTTGTTTGCCATCGAGTCAGCCCCGACTCATAGCGACCCCTCCTTGGGTTTCCGAGGCAGTATCACTACGGAAGTAGGATTGCCCAACCTTCCTTCCGAGGACATGCATACATATAATTATAAGATGAAAGTGATCACTTACAGGACAATATAAAGTCTTCATGTCAGTGGGTATTCAGAGGTAAAAAACTCAACAGAGTAAGGGCTGAGTAGGTGGGTAGAGTATTAGAAATCAGCCAGGGCTTCACAGAGTAGGTGGAATTTCATTTTAGAGTAGTGGTTTCTTAGCATCATCACTAAGCAATTTTAGATCTAATTATGTTTAGACAGTATTGCACAGGCAAACTTTGTGTAATTACATTAATATGTAAATTAATATGGATATTGCCTCTGTTTTACGTCTACTATTTTCTTGCATAAACAAAGAAGCAATATCTATATTAATTTTAATGTAATTATTTTAGGTCTACTATTTTCTTGCTAAGGAGCTCTGATGGTATAGTGACTAAAGCATTTGATTGCTAACCAGAAGGTTGGTGGTTCAAACCCACCAGTCACTCTGTGGAAGGAAGATGGGGCAATCTGCTTTTGTAAAGATTACCACCTCGGAGACCCAAGGAGCAGTTGCTATGAGTCAGAATCAACTCAATGGCAGTGACTTTGGTTTTAGTTTCATTTTCTTGGTAGAAGAGAATGCAATCACAAATAAAATTTCTAAGAGATTTATTTCTGTAACTTAGGAGAGGCTTTGAAGATTAATGTTTCAATCTGTATCCTGTGATGATTTTTATTTTGGTTTTGGTGAAGTTTTCATATTTTCTTCCTCTGAAGGAATTTTAGACTGTCTTTAATATTACTGCTTATTAATAAATTCAATATCACACCCCTCCCCTTTTCCAAGTTGTGGTCAATTTGCAAGTATATATCTGTCAAATATATTTTTTATTGAATCCATATTTTCCTGATATTTTCAGGTAACATCAAAGGAGCAACAATAGTAGATGCCCTGGATACACTCTTTATTATGGGAATGAGAGATGAGTTTCAAGAAGCAAAAGCATGGATTGAAAAAAATTTGGATTTTAATGTGGTAAGTTAGAAGTTGCTAATTCAGTTCTTATAAGGAGCCTGGTTACACAGTGGTTAAAGCGTTTGGCTGCAAACCAAAAGGTCAGTGGTTTGAACGCACCAGCTACTCTGCAGGAGAAAGATGAGGCAGTCTGCTTCTGTAAAGATTTACAGCCTTGGAAACCTTAGGCCTTTCTACATTGTCCTTATAGGTTCACTATGAGTCGAAATCAACTCAACAGCAACTGGTTTGGTTTTCTTTCAGAATTCAGTTCTTAAATTTCAGTTAATGTAGATTAATTCTGTAGTGAGGCAGATTATTATATTATGTTATAGCCCAGCTGAAATAAGCAATGCAATTTGTAAATAGTAAAAATATTTTCACATTGTGTTCTTAACTTGCCTTTTCTTACTACTCAAATAAATATATGTCTTGTCTTTTTTGTAAATTAAAGGTAAGAGAAAAGAAATATATATTGAGACCTACATGTGCCATGAATTCTTGTCCAAATCCCACAGCAATGCTGTGAAGTGGGTATTTTCATAGGTTAGAAATCTGAGCTTACAGACTTATTCCACCCCACATAGCTAGTTGTGTGTTGGAGCTGTGAATCTAACTCAGGTTTATGAGCTCCAGTGATTATGATTTTGTAATGGGGCCATGTTATATCCATCAGCAGTAACATACACTTTCCTATAAATAAGGGCTTGACACTTTGTTGGTCATACCCTATCAATAAAACATTTTGAAAGTATATGTATGACATGTTTTAAAAATTTTGTGTTTCTACTGTACCTCAAAACATATTGTGTACTAAGGGGAAGGCTCAGAATTAAGAATAGTGGGCGCTTCTAATACTTCTTGATAATTTAGATTTAGGAGGACTTCTCATTAGATCTAATTAGATGGTCATTGATTTACTTCATAGTGAGGCTGACAAAGCCCTGTGTAAAGGAAATGTGTCAGCACTGCCATTTCTTGATTATTCACTTATGTTTGCATTATGGATATTATTTTTAATCTGAGATTACTATGCAGAAATATTTTTAAATCTCTTGTCTATATGGTACCAAACCAAAAAACCCAAACCCGTTACAGTCAAGTCAGTTCTAATTTAAAGTGTTCCTGTGGAGCTGCCCCATAGGGTTTCCAAAGTTTGAACCACTGACCTTTTGATTAGCAGCTAAGTACTCTAACTGTTACGGTGTCAAGGCTCCTGTCTGTTTAGTAAGTGTTCAGTAGTAACTGTAAATCCCTACAACTGGGCAAAGGTGACATTCTGTATATTGAAAATGAACAAATAAAGGTGTCTCTGCTAACCCCTCTGCTTTGTGGAGCCCTCATCCTCCTCTAGTCCAAGTGAGGGCACCACTGTCGGTTAGAATATGAAAGACTACTAAAGCTAGATTAAAGTTTGGATTGAGAATATATAAGTTAAAAGTTTTAATATTTTGCTTCTATCCCCTAATTAATTGTCTTATATGCCCCATTTTAGACACAACTGCCTTAAAGGGCAAGCAGATTAGTCTGTTTCATCTGCCTTATAACTGAAACTAGAATGTAAAGGAGCTAGTATTCCAATCTTAAGGGACCTTGGAGATCAATGTGTTCAGTCCTTTTATTTTAACAATGAGAAAACAAGCCTAAGGATCTAGTGATTTGCCCAAGGTTGTGTAGCTGTTTAATAACAATGACCTGTGGTAGCTCTGATATTATTGAAAGAACTAAGCATGATTGGGGACACACACACACACACATACACACATTTCTATTTTTTCAATTTGTTCCCTCTTAATAATACTTTTGTCCTGCTATGTTACAAGTAAATTCAGGTATATACCTTCAGAAACTTATGAGCTTATTTTCAGCTATAATATGGGAGAGAATGTACAGTGTTTCTTTCCCCTTCTCCCTCCCTTCATCCCTCTGTCTTTCTATTCCTTCAGCCCTCCCTTTCCTTTTCAAGAATGAGAACTAGATTTTTCTAAATCCAATAATGGAAGACAGGAAAGTAGACTTTAATTTTTCTAGATTTGCACAGTGTCCAGGACTCTTGTTGATTCTTGGTAGCAGTTATTATTTGGGGAGAGGGCCAGCAGGACAGGCCTGGTGTATTTAAAAGAATTAAGCCAAAGACCTTTTAAGGTATTGGACAAAATATTGTTGTAAGGGAAGGCTGGCCTAAGACCACAACCCAGTGACATGAATGTGTCCAGTGGGCCATGGGGACCCTGTGAGAAAGTAGAGTGAATCTAATGGAGATATTATATTATCCAGAAGAACAAGTTACTCAGCTTCCTTACTTATAAGAGAAAAGGATTGGACTATGATCTAGTGATTGCGAAGATACTAATTTAAAAAATTTTCTTGTGTATTTACAGTTAAATTTTTGTTCTTTCAATAAGATTTTGTCTAATCAGTTTACAGATTTTTGTATGGAATATCATTTTAGAACTGATCCATGTATCAGAAATCAATATTAAAAACAAAAAAAATATGAAATTATAGTTTGGGCTATATCTTTTAAAATATACTTTTAAAAATCATAGTCATGGATTTCAAATTTTGGCTATTACGCCATTCTTAATTTAAGAGTTCTTAAAAAATATTACTGCTCTTCTCTCTTTGAGTATTGCCATAGTTCTCCCTTGAAAAGAAAAATTCAAATGGTAGTATTCCCCATAAATTTAGTAGAAATCTATAAAGAAGTGAGAACCAGGACAAGAACAGATATATGCACACCAGTGTTCATTGCATCATTATTTACAATAGCAAAAAGATGGAAACAACCTTAGGTGCCCTGCAGCAGAAGAATGGATAACCGAGGTATGGTACATACACACAATGGAATACTATGCAACCCTAAAGAGTAATGTAGAATCTGCAAAACAACGCATCATGTGGATAAACTTGGAGGATATTATGCTGAGTGAAATAAGTCTGTCATACAAGGACAAATACTGTAAAAAGTCAAGGAAAGGTTTACATATGAGAGAAAACTTTCTTTACTGGTTACCAGGGGTAGGAGGGGAGGGGAGGAAAAACTGCAAAAATAAAAATTAGTAAAAGTCTAAATTCAGGAAAGATACATTGATTTACTTTTCAAATCATAATATATAAAGTTCTTCAGCTTATTTTCTGGTTGGTTTTAATACGTGACATATGAGAAGTTATCTTCTGCAGTAAACCCTGTGAGACCCAGAACTCAACGGGACTGCCTCAGAAGTTTCCAGGTCTCACAAATTTTCCACTTTTGACAAGATGCCATCTTACCACTTTTCTGTCATTCTCTATTAGTGGGAAATATTTGTGTTTTCCTTCCCTGACAGGTTTCCACCTTAAAGGAGTTCTAGGTTTCACAAGTTTTACTGTAGTTATTCACCCATTCTACCTGAAGAATCAAGTGATCATTTCAACAATTACACAATTTGGCTTATAAAAAACTGTGAAAATTTTCCATTTATCTGAACCAAGGAGAAATTGGAAAAATGTGAGCAAAAAAAAAAAAAAATTTTTATTTTTAGAAATAAGATGTAGTAACATTCAATTTTGAATATATTGTTGATCATTTTTTTTTATTGTGATTTGGGTGAAGATTTAGAGAGCAAATTCACTTTCCATACAGCAGTTCACATACACTTTATCTCATGACATTGACCACAGTTTACCACAATGCAAAAGCTCCCCTCCCACTTCCTGCCCATAGTTACCCCTTCCCAGTATCCATCCCTCCATGCACTCCTGCCCCCTGAGCTGTCTCTCTGTGCATAGGCAGCCCTTCTTTCTCCATGATTGTTCTCTCCAAGGAGTGTATCTACCTGAGGTAAATGTTCAACTCATATGCCTGTCTTTTGTTTGGCTGGAAACCATGGGTGTGGGTTCAATTCCAGACCTGAAGGGCCATAGTCTCAGTGGTTCTAACAGGCTCTATCGGACCAGCAAACCTGGTCACACACCTCCCCCTTTTTTTTTTCTCCAAATGATTTTGAGTTTTGTTCCACATTGTTCTCCCTCTCTATCAAGGATCTCCTACATAGACCCCCTTCCAAGTGGATGACAGTGGTAGCCAGGCACCATCTAATTCTTCTGGTCTCATAGTCATAATTGTTGATAATTTTTATCACTGTTAATGATAAAAGTATATAAAAGTATGAGAGCATTGCAACAAAATTTAATACATCCACAATGATTACAAGGGATAAAACTGAAATAGAAATACTGTTGTTGAGAGTTAGTTTATCCTGTAGTACCCTAGAGTATAAACAAATCTTGCAGTTAAGAATTATTTTGTTTATATGTGGACTTCCAGTAAGATGGAGGAATAGTCAGACAAGCAACACAGACCTTCTTTAACAAAGAAAAGAAAAACCAACTGACAGAGATATAGAAGATAATCCTGGAGCCCTGAGCTTTGAAAGGAACTATGCAGAAGTGGATTAGGCACCAACTAGTGGAAAAACCTGAAGAAAAACATTGAGTACGGATACAGTCAGAGCTATGAACTATCAGCTACTCTGATGGACCAACAGCTTGAATATTTCCAAGTGGTGTTAGGACCTGACAGTTGACCTAAAGATCAACTGTGGTCACCAAGGGCTGCAGGTGGTCTATGACTAGGAAGGGAAACAGCAAGGAGGGAGACAACCTGAGCTATTACTGGCTTTCCGCTGTCCGGAGGGTAGAGCCGTTTTGATTGTTTACACACAGCAGCCATTTTGGATATTTAAAGTGACCAAGGGTGCAGCCATTTTGAATGTTTACAAGTGGTGGCCATTTTGGATATTTAAAGTGACCAAGGGTGCAGCCATTTTGAATCTTTACAAGTGGCAACCATTTTGGATTTTAAAATAATATCATTCTCATTTGGATTCCAGCAATCTAAGAATAGGCTCTGTTTGCCAAGACAGCAGGGACATACCAGAGGCTGACAGCAGGAAAGGAGACAGGTGATGAGTATATATAAGTGCTGTCAACTAGAGAATAGGGGAGCACAGTGCCCTGCTTGCTTAGATAACATACAA